GGGTGGCGTGGCGGTTTTTGTTAGCAAAATGGGGGGGGGGGGGGTATGTCCCTACGGGGCTTTGCTCAGCGCGAACGCAAGCCAATCGCAGCCGCTCGCCGACTCACCGGGGTGTCGTCCGCCAGGTAACGCCGCGGTGATCAAGCCGTCCGAGGTTTGCGTGCACACGGCCAAGTTGATGGACGAGCTGCTGCCGCTCTACCTGGACACAGTAAGACACTTTCACGCGGGGGTGGGGGGGGGGATCCGGCCTTTTCCGTCAGACGTAACTGGCGGGGCGTCACAGTCGATGGCCAAGGACTGGCAAGACCAGAGCAGAGCGCGCGTACAAAAGCCTTTTCGATGACGTGCCGCGCAGGAGCTCTACCCGGTGGTGACGGGCGGCGTGCCCGAGACGCAGGAGCTGCTGCGCCAAAGGTTCGACCACATCTTCTACACGGGAAGCGGCGCCGTGGGAAAGCTGATCATGGCGGCGGCCGCCCAGCACCTGACGCCGGTCACGCTGGAGTTGGGCGGGAAAAGCCCGTGCTACATCGACAGCGACTGCGACATCGCCGTCGCCTGCAGGTAGCCCGGAGCCTCGCGCCGGCGGTCCGGGCCGGAGGGCCGCGCTAACGGCGCTTTTCCCCCGCGCGCAGACGCGTGGCGTGGGGCAAGTTCACCAACTGCGGCCAGACCTGCATCGCGCCCGACTACGTCCTGTGCCAGCCGGCCGCGCAGCAGCGCCTCATCCAGGAGCTCCACAAAGCCATCAAGGTAGCGTCCGCCTCCGCGGCGGTTGGGATTCGGATTGGGATTTGAGTCGCGCGTGGACTTTTCCCGGCGGCAGGAGTTCTACACGGACGACCCCAAGACGTGCCCGGACTACGGCCGCATCATCAACCGGCGCCACTTCAGGAGGATCGTGTCCATGATGGAGGACAGCACCGTCGCCGTGGGCGGAGACAACGACGAGGAAGACTGTTTCATAGGTGAGGCGCCCCGACGAGCGCGCCGCGGGGTCCGGCCGAGCGAGGGCTAACGCCGCTTCCTTGTGCCGCAGCTCCCACGGTGCTGCGGGACGTCAAGCCCGACGCCAAGGTGATGCAGGAGGAGATCTTCGGACCTCTGCTGCCCATCGTGACCGTGGACGGCCTGGACGAAGCCATCCGCTTCATCAACCGGGGCGAGAAACCTCTGGCCCTCTACGTCTTTTCCCATGACGCCAAGGTACCGCGCCACGCTGGCCCACTCGGACCCGCTCTGCCACTCAATGTCGGGCCCCCAAAAGCGTGGACTTTCTTGAAAGAAGTCATTTCTCGAGCGCCTCTTCTCCAGAGGCGTTTTGAAGGGAGCGGGCGGGGGG